CTATTCTGAGGGTGGACTACAAGGGGTAAGCTCAAGGTGAAGACACTAATAAAAAGATGCGTGGCAAAGAGGAGGTAGACGGAGCTTTGGTCAGGACCACAGTGCAGAACAGCGGTGGTAAGGAGCAACTGTACTCTGGATACTCCGGGGAGGTAAAGTTAGTGTAATAGGTAAGAGAAGGGTTGGGGAAGTGAGAGGAAGGTGTGGTGGTCCTGGCAGAGCAGCTGAGATGATTGTAGAAGGAACAGAAATGGCAGGTGAAAGGTTTGGCTAAGAACTCATTTAAGATGCCCTACTAGGGAGGAGAAAGAGAATGGTGCCCAAACCTTCTCAGTTAAGTGAGAGTGTTGTCAAGGTTAATTTGTTTATTCAGCATTGAGAGCAGATGAAGAAGGCACAAACTGAGCTTCCAGAATGGTTTTTTTTTTTAATAAGAAGTTCATCTCTGGAAAAAACACATCACATTTTTCTTTTACAGCTAAATGACAAGAAAATACTTTACAAGGATTTGAAATACGAATTTTGAGAAAGCGGAATCATCCAGATTTTACCGAATCATTAAAGAGCCACATAAAATGAGGGAAAAAAATACTGGAGACTCTCTTTGAAAAGAATATAAAAGATTTGTTCAGAGTCAGAAAATTTCTCTTGAGTGAATATTGGTCCTTTCCGGAGTCTGGATTAAGATAAAGTTGGCTTCGGTTAAATGTTTAGAGAAGTGAATTCTTCAGAACAGTCAGACTGGATGTACGATAATAGGCTAGGAGTTGGGACGAGCCTCAAGCATTTCAGTGTCCCCTCATAACAAATGCAATGCTGGAAATTCTCTGCATGCACCCCTCCTTGGTTAGAGCAAGAAAAGCTGGATGTTCATAAGACAGCCAAAGCCCATAGGTACCCAGAAACTGAACTCAATCGCGAGGCCACATGCTGATGTTCTAAATCTTTTTGTCCCAACCTTGAAGGCCTACAATGAATCACTTATATTATTTTCTCAACCTGTTTACATCTATTATAATAAAATATTACATAAACAAATAAAACAATCTAGTGAAAAGAAAAATATCTGTCGTTTTTTTAAGCTGAATGTTCAAGAATTTTTTAAAGTGAGTTGCTACTTTTTTTTCTTCTAAAGTGTTGCATGGACTAGACAAACAACAGACTAAGGGAAGAAGTCACAGAGCTATGGAATTTGGTCTCAGTTGCATGCTGCTCTGTGTGTATCCTTACTGTCTCAACCGCACACAAAAATTTACATCATGTCCCATCAACAGATCACATTTAAACCGGCAGCTCTAACAGTGAAAGAGTGAGCAGCAACTTGAACACACTTATTTGCTTCAAGAGAAAGCATTCAAGATCTGCACATATTGATTTAAAAATGGAGTCTTTGCTGTTACTGGCTTTTGTGGTAAACTCACACAGACATCTTCCCTGTGTGCTAAGTGGACCATTAACACATCCTGTGACCCAGTCTTTGAGGGCATTTGGTTGCACTCATGCCTGATTGGTACCACCGAATCATCTCCCAGGTATTCTTCTCTGCTTTCTAATTGACCTGATGTGATGGATAAATTCTCCCGTATTTCTGACCTGACCCAATCACACTTACATTTCATATTAATCCTCTCACTCAGTGGCTTGTATAATCTGTTAGGGGTGCACATACCCAGAATTGGGAATAAAATTATCCTTTTATGAAGAAAATATTGTCAACCCTGAAGGTAGTAAAGGTCCTGATCTTGACTAATATAGCCTTTTGAATCTTAAAAACAGGATATGGACATCATTATCCACCTACATGCATATTTGCTGAAAGAATTAGTGAAATTCGGGGAAAATTATTACACGTACTTAGGGGGAAATGTGGTGCTCAATGCTGTCAGCAAGCACTCATTACTCAGAAGAACATGATGCAACAGACTACTCATCTGGACAAGGAGATTTGTTATTTGTATATTATAACATTAGGGAAGTATAAACTTCTAAGTAACAGTTCTGAGAAACCTAAATATTTTCCCCCTAATAACAGTAGGGTTAAATGGCTGTGAGTCTGAACTGAAAACCAGAACAGAATTATTGATAGTCTTTATTCTCTGGAAATCTGCTTTCTTTTTTTTAAAAAAAAATGAAAATGCTACTAATTGAAAAAGAGCTGGGTTTCATCTCTGAGTATAGACTACCCACCTTATCAGTGCTCTACACATGACCTAATCTTTTGTGAATATTCCAGAAGAAGATTCTTAAATACAATAGGCCAAGATTGGCAGCAACCAAATTATAGGAGATAAAGTCCTAAGATTCACTAATTTGAAGCATCTTCCCAGGACTGTACTTGTTGGAGGCTTAAAGTAATATAGCCAGCATCACATCAGAGAAGGCAGATGGCCTGCATTTAAGGCTGGGTTTGTGTCGAGCCTCCTGAATGGTCTCCGGAATTCCACTGTTTATCTCTTGTGTCTGAGCGATAAGATGGTGGGAGTCCCAAGCCAGGCTCCCATCAGAGCTTGCACTCTGACTTTGGGATCTGAACAGCTAGCACGAGGATGCAGTGCACAGGGCATTTTCAAAGCAGTAACTCTGGCAATGCTCACAATCCCACAGCAGATACTTTTGTCCAATTCCCATTTTACAGAAGAAAAAATGAGACAAAGGATAAATACTGTGTTTATGTTCCTAGTTGGTAAGAAGAAAATGAAGGATTTCTGCTCAGCTAATCTGAACCCAAATACAGATTCAGGAAAGAGTCATAGTGTTTCTTCTCATGGGAACTGACGACACAAGGTGGCAAAAGCCAGACACACAAGTTTACAAACAAAACCATACTTTTGCAAATTTTCAAGTAACCAAATATCTGTATCTGATTAGCTAGTCTTTCTCTTCACAGTTAGCCAGAAAAATCCCCCAGATTCAGTGTTGCTAAGGCAAAGAGCAAACAGAAAGACCTTTAGAGCAAATATGCAAGTCTGAACTCTAAGACGTGGCAGCACTGTTTGTCTAGATCAAGGTCAATAATCCATTCAAATTGGTTTCCCATCTGAGCAGAGTAATAAAAACTTGAGACCTGTAAAAGCTGTTCTCCCAGACTGAGATGACATGAACAATAGCATGAAACCTACAAAGTCACTACCACAAGGACAGAGCCAAAGGCTGTTGTGCAACCTGGAGAGCCCATTCGCAGTTCCAATGGCACAAGGCTAGAGCCTCTCAAACTTCTGCACAAACATTAGTCACCTGAAGTTCCGGTTACAAATGTAGATTCTAAATCAGTGTATCTGGGAGACTAGTGTGTAATGAGGCCTCAGGTCAGACCAATGTTTCTGGATGAGACTTGTGTCATGCAAGTGACGGTGAATGAGCCCAGTGGTCTCAGAGTGAGCAAAACTAAATTCGGCCACGTTTTATACCCAGAGTAAATGCTTGGGTTATTTCTGTTTCCCCAAATGTCTTACTGGTCTGGTACATTTCTTTCAAACTACAAAATTCAGCATCTCTAACAATGCCTTTCTCACTAAACCTACACTGAGTTTCTCCTTGTGAGATTAAGAGAAAATGAAAGCCCCACCCCCACCCAGACCCAAACCAATGTCTCTATAATGGAAGAGTAAAAGGTTTGGTGTCCTTCATATAATTACATATGTTCAGAGGTCAAGTCCTGGTGTGGGAAGTCCTTCTGAATATGTGTTACTTTTGTTGGTTAATGAATAAAAAATCTGCCTTGGTCTGTGATAAGGTAGAGTAGAACGAGGCCAGGGCAGAAGGAGGGGGAAACTAAACTGAATGCTGGGAGAGAGAAGGTGGAGTCAAGGAGACATGTAGTCACTAGAAGGAAAAGATGTGAGCTGCCAGCTGGAACCTTGCCAGTAGGCCACAAACTTCATGATAAAATATAAAATAATGGAAATGGGTTCATTCTAGATGTAAGAGCTAGCTAGCAGTATGCTTACACGATTGGCCAAGCAGTGATTTAAATAATATAGTTCTCTGTGTGATTATTTCGGGAGTCTGGACGGCAGGAAATGAACAAGTGGCCTCCTATAACAAAGTCCCTGTTAAGCAAAAGAGGTACAGAAAAACATTTAAGTTTGAAGCTTCTTTAGTCAAAAGCTCTGAGAGTAGCTTGCTAGTTCAATGGTTTTCTGGATGGCATAATGCAAGATGGATCTTACCATAATACTTCAAGAGCTCATCGAAGAGAAGAGGTTGGACTTTTTAAACAGCTGAGTTTTTACACGGTTCAACATGGTAGCCATGGGCTGTCACAACTACTTTGCACTTTTAATTTGAGGGGTCTGATGTGAAAATACACACTAGATTTCAAACACCATGAAGAAAAGAATGTGAACTCTGCCACTAGTAAACCTTATGCTAGTTTATCTTAATAATGTACCTATATCTTACCAATGTTTGGGGTATGTTGGGTTAAATGCCATATTTTACAGAAACAGTTATACCCATATTGGTTTCTGACACTTGGCATAGAACCCAGGATATCAAACATGCTGGGCATATTCCCTACTACTGAGCCACTCATTACTTTTTTTTTTTTTTTTTTTTTTTTGTTATACTAGAGCTTTATGTAGGCCATGCATGTTCTCTCCCACTCAGCTACACCTTAGCTGTATATGTGGTTTACATTCTGTTTCTGTTGGGCTTGGTGCTCAAACTGTCATTTTCAGAGCTTGAAAGAAAAGGAGCTTCTTGTCCCCCCACCTCACAGCTATTGATCCCACAGACGCCTGAGCACATTCAAGTTATGGAAGGCCTGGGCTAGCTTTCCCACAGCATCGCACCAGGTGTTGACTGACGTGAATGACAGCTGACAAAGGCACTGTGCTTGCTAAATTTTCTATGCAAATATGCCAACACAGCAGTAGCATTTTAGAAGAGTGAAATGATCAAATAATTCTAAAATTCATATTAAAAACTACATTAAACATAAGAACTTGCACACACACAATATATATACTCATTGGGAAGGGGGGCTGTTGGGCTGTTACCTTAGTTACTTCTGGGTTTTCAGCCACCATGTAAGTGAAGCCAATGTTCACCAGATCTGTGCCACTGCAGACACACAATATCCGCCCTTCCAGATCATTTTCAGATTTTCCAACAGCTTCAAGAGCAGCCAGGATTTTGGGATCCTGTAGATGTATAAAAATAGGAGAAAATATGTTGGATTGCAGCGTATGGAGAAAAACATGGTGAAAAGAAACACATTTTTGGGTAAAAATATACCCTAAAGGGAAATGGTCCCTAACCCATTTAAAATCCTAGTGAACTAACATCATTATAAAACCTGGAGAGATGAAATTTCCAATAATATAGAGTACCAGAAACCCTTCAGAAGGGCTTTACACTTTTTTTTAACTTTAGAAATCTTGGTTCAATAATGTGTGTGTAGATTTTTGACATAAATCTTATTTATCTGTTTTGACTGAACATATGTCTTTGTTGTGAGTACCTGGTGCTCAGATGGTTAAAGCTACCATGTGGGTTTCAGGATTGGCCAGGGTTCAATGGAAGGGCAGTCAGGGCTCTTAACGGCTCTTAACGGCCATAGGTGTATGGTTCCTTTGTCTGGATTTTCGATTGTCACTATAACAGAACTTCAGATTTAGCAAAGTTCAGGAAAGACCATGACTGGTTTGCGTTTGTGTCCATAAACACCTAAGGGGCCTCTTCTCACAGAATGCAGGCTTACTTACCATGAATAAACACTACATCACCACAGCTACTACAGCAGGCTATTCTTATGAAATGAAGGTGAGACTCTTAAGCAGCTTAGATACAAAGACCAAACATTTTCATTTCTACAATCTAAGCATCCTCACATGGAAGGAACACTGTGAAAATTTCTACATAAAACACCACATTTGTTTTCCAGAGGAAATTCCAGAATGTAGTTACGCAGAAAACTTAGTTAACATAAAGGAAGCCAGCTGCAAAATAAATAAACAAATAGGAAAAGAACTTTGCTTTGGACATCTGAAAACATGCAGGGCAGGTACACTGAAGGAAATAAATACTGTGGTAGAATCTTCTATGAAGAGACACCTTTTAAATTTTTAACATCATTATACATATAGCTTCTTATTCAAACAAATCAATGAAGGAAGATCACTGACTTCTGTGCTCTGGTAGCTTTTCCTTTCTACCAGAGGTTAGCCAAGTTTTCTGTGTGAACTAGCGTCCTGAGTGCACAAGTGAAGAAATACGGGGTACCTCAGCCTTATAAATCTCCACATTCATCAGCCACACATGGAAAGCAAATTACTGATAGCAAGAGAATGGAGAGAGGTTTTAAAATTAATTTCCAGATTAAGGGATCTGTCTCTCTGACACTAACACCATGCAAAGGTTTGGGTTTCCAAGGACTAAAACATCCCTAATATAACTGGAAATATTGCAATCCAAGTCACCTCAGAATTATAGATGAAATGGCTACTGTGTCCATCCTTAAACACAAGTTGATGATTTGGGGTGATTAGAAGTGAAATAGAATCCTGGAGATCACTTTTCAAGTTTTGTAAAATCTATGTTTCAAAGACCAGCAGGATCAGTGAGATGCCTCAAAGGGTAAAGGGGCTCACTGTTTAAGCTTGATGACTCCATGTAAAGGTGGATGGACGGAACTAATTCCACAGGAACATCATGGTCTATGCACACTCACGGCCCCAACACACACACACACACACACACACACACACACACACACACACACACGAATGATACCAATCACATTTACCTTTGGTATGGCTGCCAGCCGAATACTGTTGATGAGGGAACATTCTAGCACTTGTCCTTCCTGAAGAGAGAGCACACACCCCAGCAATGAACTTAAATTCTGCCAGCCTCATGGCATAGAGTGCTTAGCAAACATATCTAAAAATAAAATCAATGCTGTCAGAGAAGGGGCAAAATGCAAACCAAGTGATGGTAATGATTTCTAATGATCGGGAAGAAAAGACTCAAGCTTCTTATTTCATATATATACACACAACCCTGAATGAGTAATAAAATATTTACAGATTGTCATTCCACATATATACATAATAATGCCTATATATTATTAAATATGTAGATATAGAAAACATTAAGTATAAATAATTCCAACTTTTATACAATTCCAATTACACCTTTCTTGGTTTGGGCTCCAATGTTCATTAAATGTGAACACTGTGCCACACATCCAATTATGCCCCAGGGTTTAATGAGCTGAACTCTCATTTAATGTGCCTTTTAATTTCAGCTCAAAAATTATTTTCTAGAAAATATTCCTAACTCTCAAGATTAAATCAGACCTACTTTGTCTAAGCTTTTATAACAAAGTAAACTTCTCGTTCACAATGCTCAGTGACTTGAAGCTCTTTTAAAAATGCCCAACTTTGTTCCTCCAGTAGAATCTCTTAGAGGTCACCTGCATAATGTCTTTAATCCCAGCATCCTCAACGCCTGGGACAGGAAAACAAGTAGTAAAAACTCTCCAAGGAAAGAGTAAGCATAGTATCCATGCCCTCAGGAGGAACTTGGTCTACCTACTGAGAAATGAAACTGCTTGAGCCGGAAGGCAAGCAAGGCTGCTCTTATGCCTTACCTTGCCTTCACTCTTCCAGGTCAGGAAAAAGCCAAATTCGTCCACTTTGAAGAGGCAGTTGGGTTCAAACACGAAAGATTCCTGTTAAAAAGAAGTGTGATGGGTTTCATGACTTAACAACATTTTGATTCAATAAAAATTCAAGTATGTTTGAGCGTCCAAACACAGGGCAAAGAATAATCACTGTTTGTATCTGGATCCTCACCCTCCGTTTCTGATGACGCTGTGGACCATTTTCATTTAGGGCACTGTACACCCTTTTTCCTTATCGAAAGGCTCATCTATGTAACAGAAACCCTTCCTCTAGAACACACTCAAAATTACTGACATCGATGCCTTGGGTTTACACAGGAAAGGGTTTCCTGAAGGTCACAGGAGAGAAACTCCTGAAAGATAATTGAGTGTTGCTTGTTTGCCCTCTAGAGAGAGGACACACAGCTGCCTGTCACTGATCCATACCAACACTAGCCCTGGGATGCATCACCACAAGCCCTCTGGGACTTCTGATGCACGATGCATTGAGTACCATTGCTGTGAACTTTGACTCCAGAAACTCAATGAAATCCACAGAACCAAAGCTTCAATTGAAAAGGAGGGCTCTCCAAACACACACCACAGCAGATCCGCCCTATGTGCCAATGGATTCCTGGCACACTGCATTTAGGAACACAAGGAAATTCTGTCAGTGAGAGAAAAAGAGTGTTTGGGAAATGAACCCAGATGCTCTGTCCCTCTGTTTGCATAATTCCATGACACAGTTCTGTGCGTCAACAAATCTAGGCATTCTTCTCATGAACTAAAGAAGCCAACTTCCTACATCATCGCAATGCCAACAATTAGGAGCCTGTCCTTTCCGCAGGGAAAAAGCATCACTAAATAAATAGCAATTACAGGATTAACATTTGAAGAAAGGCACTTCAGATGCTTAGTTTCTCAGATCCAGATTTATCTTTCTAAATTCCAGGAAAACAGCAACATTCATCAAGGCAAATCCAACGTCAAGAGATAGCCACCATAAGATGGCAGAATCAGGGGATCTGGCAGCCCTGAATGAAGCTAGCTTTTAATCTGTTTGTGTAGTTTTCTGGCAAAGAATCACTGTAAGTGTTCAACTCCCACACCAGGCGGTGGGAACTCCACGTCAGTACTGGGAACTGCAGACAGCAATGGATAAGACAGAGGCAAAGGTAAGACCTGTGCTTTTCGAGACAAAATTCAGTTCACCATTGTCTATTTACTTGCTCCGAAAGACCCTTTCTGTCTCAGAATCCTACCTAATCAAAGTTTTTACCCACACCTTTTGGGTTAGTTGTAGCATTTAAATGAGCCAGGGGATGCAAGGTACACAGTGCAGAGTCACAACTCAGCAAGCTACAGCCTATGGTATTGTAACCATGGTAGCCTTTTATGAACAAGTATTTGGCAGTAAGTGTGTGATTTGACCTTGAGTAGATGATGATTCCTTTTTTCTTGAAATGATTTCCCCCTCCTTACCCTGACCAAGCCCCACTCCTCTAAGGTCACTTCCTGCCTTTTCCCTGTACACACCAACTCTGCATATCCTTCACACTTGGTTCCTGTACTTCTCATTTCCATCGTGCTCCTAGATTTCTGTAAATCACATGGCTACAATACCGACGGGTTACTGCTGCCTCCCACGTTTACAATAGCAACCCAGTTACCCGTGAGGCTGAAATCAGACATTTAACTCTCCAGTGGCCATCCCCACTAGGATGTTTCAGAATTCGCATGTTCAGATCTGACTTTCTGCCTCCCTCCCTCTTTTCTGAGCAGCTCTATTGTCACAAGCTGTCCTTACTTCAACAAATGTCACCAGTGTATCTGGCTCGTCACCCTACGGACTTACTCACTGTGCCTGAGAGTCATTCTTGGCCTTCCTTCCTTGTTTTCTGCTCATGATCATTAATAAGTCTACTTTCACAGGCTTAGGTGATAATGACCAGCTAACTCCATCTCCACCATATGCCCCTGGTTCTAACATCTGTTCCCATTTCTGTGAATTCTTCCCACTTCTACACTGTTTATCCGATAGCAGCCATGTTGATTCTTTTTAATTTCTTTTAACCAGTTCTCTAAAATCCTGAACTATGAATCTCCATTATATTTAGGAAAATTTTCAACTAAAGTTGGTCTAATGAGTCCTAGGAACATCCAAGTCCTTTGTATCTTACTTTAGGCACTTCCTGCCCTGTGATCTTGTGGCTCACTCACTACCAACAAAATGGTCTTCCTTAAAAACCTTCAGTGATTTCCAGCCTCAGGACCTTTGCACTTCTAGCTCCACCTCTACAGAAATGTCTCCCTAGTGCCCTTGGTGTATCTGGCTCTTTATCTTAACGTCCCCCACTTTAATGACTGATCAAGCCCCCTTCAGAAAGGCTCCCCAATCTCCTTGCTATGTGTCTGATTTCCTGAAAAGTATCTTCCTTCCTTCCTTGCTAACACTGAATGCTGTCTGCTGTTACATCATCTCCTGACTGACTGGCTCACACGCTAAAATGTAACCTCCATGAGGAATGCCCTTAAGGGGTCTTGTGTGTCTCTAAGTTTCTTTCTTCTTTCACTTCAAATGCTTATTTCAAAATCATCCTAAAACTAATCCACCCATGAAAGGATGAATGTGACAGGTAACTTTCTCAAATAAAATATTTTGCTACAGGCCAGTATGTAAAGAGAGAGAGAGACAGAGAGAGAGAGAGAGAGAGAGAGAGAGAGAGAGAGAGAGAGAGGACAAGATAAGAAAATTGAGCAAAAAGAAGCAAAATACAGTAGAAGAGTAAAATAGAGGAAAATGTTGAAACACTTGGAGCTAGCTGCTAGATGATTCCCCCAAGCAGACAACAAAATCCTTGGGGTCCTCATCAACTAAAATAAGATGAAATATTTATAAAGGGCCTATCTGGCTCATGAGATAAAACCCTATTTGTTATTGGGAGAAGCCATGTCCAGGGTAAAAGTCTTCCCAGGACCTCCCCTAAAAGTTCTCCCTGACTGACTACAATAAAATGCCTTAGAGAAGTGTGGTGTAAGTCTGATCCGATGGAGGTAGGTGGTCCTTGGACTTCCCACAGGGCAGGAAACCCTGATTGCTCTTTGGGCTGACAGAGAGGGGGACTTGACTGGGGGACGGGAAGGGAAATGGGAGGCGGTGGCAGGGAAGAGACAGAAATCTTTAATAAATAAATAAATTAATTAATTAAAAAAATAAAATAAAATAAAAGCTGAGCCAGGTGAAAAAAAAATAAAAAATAAAATAAAATGCCTTGGCTTAGCCTAGAGGCTTCCTGACCAAACACATCCGAAATGCCTACGAAATTTCAGGGCACAGATCTGAGGGCTAAGTGACAACCAACTGAAAGGAAGTAGCGCAAACCTACTTAGGTTTCTACCTCCTACCAGCAAGTCAAGCACTGGGCCTCTACTGGTGGCAAATATATACAATCTATGTGATTTTTCACCAGCAGTAGTTTTATATTTCATAGAGGTACTTTCAGACTAGAACTTAGGCTATGGCACCCTGGCCAGACCATAGTGATATCCAAGACCCATAGCCAGGTACATTGTCTACCACCTAGGGAACTGTGGAGGAGAGGACTGGAAAAGGAAGCCAGACTTGGTCTCCTTTGCAAATCTAAAAGGTAGTAACTGAATCTGCTGATAAGAAAACAAACCATAGCAGGGAGCCTGGGTTTTCATTTCTCTTATGCAAAGCTACCCCCTGGAGAGTTCAAGGGCCTAGTTGGTTAACCAGCCCAACTCTTACTTTAGACCACGGGGAGTCAGGCTGGAAAGGGCCAGGAATTCTTGTGGAAATTCTGAACAAGTGGCAGCTAGAGGTCACTTTTCTTGAAAGAGGCATAAGCAGCACTCTAGTCGCCAACACTGCTGTCAGAATTCTATTTCTGGCACTAGGATCCCTGGTCAGAAGGCATGTGCCACTCAAGGCTTCTGGAGACAGACACTTACCACCTCATCAAACATGGAGGGCATGATAAGCTCTATGCGATTTTTTTAGTGGATGCTATCTTCACAGTATTCGATAGCACAGCTTAACAAAATATTCAAATTGATTTAATACTTTTCCATTCTTTCAACTTCAAAAGATATTCTGTCAAGTAAAATTTAATTCCCTTTCTCCTTTAAAGGAAGCCCAGAGAACTTAGCCAGCTGAATAAAAAGGAGGGTAGATAGGTGGCTATCCAGGTAACAGATACATGAGTGCGTTTGTATTTGTACCTCATGTGTGTGGTTATACATGTACATGTATGTGCATGCATGTGAGATCCAAAGACTAATGAGCTGGACTTATGTCAATCGCCTATATATTGATATAGGGTCTCTTGCTGAACCCAGAGTTTGCCAATTTATCTAGTCCCGCTAGCTAGCTTACCCTGGAGATCCCCCATCTTTGCTTCCCAAGAGTGAGTGGTGGGGGATCAGAATTTAGTTCCTTACACTCGTTCTGCACACATTTTGCCCACAAAGAAATCTTCCTAACCCCATAAGTTTGATTTCAAGGTAGACTATAGTTCTTTCTTTCCTGTCTGCCCTTTCACCATGGTTACCCAAGTTAGCCTCTAATGTCGATGTTTATATTGTAAGCTTTGAAAGACAAACTATGATAGTCACGTCTTATTTCCAGCTATGGCCAACTTTTCTGGATAGGCTCGTATGTGGTATAATTATACTTTACTTAAACAGGAGTGGTGCAAGACTTCTCTTTTGCATTTGTGACTGGGAAGATTCAGATGTGGAGGAGTGAATGGAGAGAGGGCTTTTGTATTACATCACAAGTTTTACATGGCTGAGATGGAGGACTGTGATGATTTGAACGACAATGTCCACATAGACTTTGGGGTTTGGATATTTGATCTCCAGCTGATAGTACTGTTCACTTAGGTTTAGGGTTGCCTCACTAGAGGAAGTATGTATAGCACAAATAATAATAAAAAAACAGAAACAGATATTTGGGTTCAAGCTTAAGACTAGAAAAAAATCGGCCAACAACTAGGGAGACCTTTTACCTCCACCAAATCTTCAGATTGAAAGAGCAGGATCCT